CGAGCCTCTCAGCTTCAATTCCTCAACTCCAAAAGGTATCATGACCATTAGACATGATAATGCAGGCAAAATGCATTAGCATAGTGCCTGCAAAAGATTTTTTATTTAATTATATTTTCTCAAGCTTGCACTAACTGCCTCCCCTCTCATTCTGAGAACACTTAACACATCGTTCCAGCACTTTTCTTTTCTTGACGTGAAACAAGGCCAGTAAAGCACAAAGTTTTTATTCTAGTGTTACTGGATTCTTTGCTCATGAAAACTGAGGTGTTTTGTTTGTTTGATTAGGGCAGGAAACAGATCTAGTAGTAAAAAGGGGTGTGAGGAAATAAGCATTCTGGTGGGGGTGGCACATTTTCTGAAGAGCAATTCTGTACTGTAAATATACCTCCCAGAATCTATATTAAAAACAGAACCATTCATACAGAGACTACAAGAATCCCACTGAGACATTATGTATAATGGGGTAAAACTGAGGAGAATTAAAGTCTTGAGCATTATATTAAATTAAAGAATTAAAGCCTTGAGCATTAAATTACATTATAATGCACCTTTTATGCATCAGTTCAATGCGATGTTTGAAGACGTTTTAGACAGGGGTAAAGCTCAGATGTTAGATGAGAAAACCCTAGAAAACAGTTAATCCCAAACCTTAAAAACCTTACTCATTCATAGGACTGTTGTATACATTTAATGTACACCTACAACTCAGAATACCAAAGTATTCCAAAAGGTAGACAGTGGCCAATGCTGAACAACAGGACCCAAATATGTTTTATTTTCTTCCAGTTCCCAAATTGCCTTCAGTTGCTTTGTGATGCTTGACTATCTGGACCCAGAACCTCCCCTCCCACTCAAGGACAAAGGCAAGAAAATCTGGCTGCTGAAGAGAAACTCAAACACAGAACATAGCTCACAGTTTTCCTATCTGTGGTAACCAGTATTTAAGCACCAATCAACACAAGAGGTCAGAGGGAGTTCAATGGCCAGTAAGGGCCAATGATTAGGCGCCCAATCAAGTGGCAAATAGTTTAAAAATCCTGGCCTAGGGAAGGGTACATCACATAGGATAGGACATTTTTGTGGCCTCAACCTCCCTATCCCAGCTGAGAATTCAAAAAGAAGGGGGCACAAAGTGCTGCACTCCCCACTTCACACTCCCCAGTGTGTCCATCAAAGTGGACATACAGCGTGACAACTGCAGTGGCCCAGCCCTGCTTCACCCAGGCCTGCGGCCTCTGCATATGTAAAGGCGGGGCTTGGCAGAGGCAGAGATGGGTGCGCCACCCCTTCCCCAGTCCTTTTGTCCACTCACATCATCAGGTCACTGCCAGTCACCACCAGCTCCCTCTCAATAGCTTCGGGGTCGAGGTCAGCATCCTGGGTCAGGCACCTGCCGACCATGTCCACCACATCCAGGCAGGACAGGGAGGACATCGAGAGGGTGCTGGCACATTTGGTTAAGGGCCAGTTCATGGGGACATCTCGGTTCTGGCACCCAGGTCTTGCTGAGGCCTGCTTAACCCCAGAACACCTTGGGAGACCTGGGCACCACAGACATCAGGCCACCCCCAAGTCCTCCTGGCCATCTCGTGGCAGCTCACAGGCTGCTAGTTTTGAACACCCTTGGTGCCCAATGTCCCTTCTGTACCCCAGTGGCACCCCCTAACCCGCAGCCTCTGAAGCCTCTAGGGCTCATCTTCCGGCGCTCCTCCACCAACCACTGCCCTACAACCCCGGTGAACCTGCAGGCTCCTTAGAAAGGATACAACTCCAGCACCGGGCCTCATGGGGCTCCACCCAAGGCCAAAGCCTCTGCACTTTGCACTTGGACAGTTGATGCCCCCAGGGCCTGGGGGGCCGCCCCAGCCACAGCGCCCTTCTCTGCAGCCTGCTTTCAGCCTCCAATGGCTCTGTGTGCTCCAGGACAATGTGGCATTGTTTCAATACCATCTCTGCTGCCCACTAAACCCGTGCCACAGTCAAAGGACTCCATGACTGCCACGCATCCCTCCCAGAGGTCAACAGGAGCTGAAGAGAGACTGAGCCCCTCACGAAGTCCCTCCCCTTCTGTGAAAGGATGCCCAATTCGCCTGCACAGACTCCCCTGAGGGCACCTCTTCGCTCCAGATTGGTTACGACCCAGAGAGCCCGGCTATCCGTGTGCCACTAGGGAGACCCCGGGAGGCCAGAGGGACTCAACTCTCTCATGAAACCAAGCTCCCTTTGGGTCGTCCTGATGCGCCTGTGCATACGGGCCCCTTTTGTGCTGGCTCAGATGGCGGGGAATGGACGCAGCCAAGTGTCCACACACATGCCACCGAGAGGATAGAGGCTTTCTACTCCCAAGGCCTTGACCAAGGCTACTAAACATCTCCTCAAGGCGATAAGGGTTAATGTCCCTCCCCTACACCCTCCAACACCTCCCCACAATAAAACTCAAAACACACACAGCAGGGGAAGAGAGGGACCTCCAAGAAGAGGGGTCTTCCCCAAGTTGGGGGGTCAGGACTGATTGGCGTCCTCACTGAGCCCACCAAGGAGGCACCAGTCTCAGGACCTCATCTAGACCCTAGTACATCCCAAAGGCCCGTCTCCAAACTCCAGCCCCTGGGGCTTAGGGCTTCAATATGGGAACTGAGGGTGGAAGAGGGACCCGGACACTCAGTCCACAGGCCAGTGTTACTGGCTTCCCCATCTATGCTCACATGAGCCTTTTCAGTAGGGAGACAGTAATTGACCCAACCAAGCATAGAAACCAAGTCTCTTCTGCCTGATAATCCACCTTAGCTATACGGACAGGTGTGACACTCAAGTTCTCACAGATCTGAGATGAGGGACAGATGGAAACAGGAAAGTAAGACTTCCTGACATAACAGTGTTAAAGCGAGACAAAGCCATGCGCCCTAAGGAAGTTCCTGGAATCAGAGGAGCTGTGGAGGTGATACCAGCTGTGGTGACCTACGGTCACTCTACTGTCTCCCCAGTTCCACTCAGGGGTGCCCTTCCCTCCTTGTGCTCCCTGGTGGGTGGGTGGGCCCAGGTTTCCCCTGCTGTCCTGGCTAGTTATGCGGACCCTCCTTCTCCTGGACCAACACCGCCCCTCACATCTCAAGGCCAGGAGGTGACAGAGGTGCTCTAGGCTCCTCTCACCTCTTTCCAGGCCACTCCTCCACCTGAGGGGCTGGTTCCCATGTGTCCCCAGCCCTGCCCTCCCGCAGAGGCTGTGCAGATGTGCAGGTGTCACTCAAGAGGCTCCCACCCTCGGGCTTCCAGTGGGATCTCCACAGGCAGGAGGGGCCCTGCCTTTGCTGATCTGTGTGCTGCACACTCCCAGGACAGTCGACGACAGGCCCCGCCAACAAAAAGCCACCACCACCGAGTGCCTGGCTGCAAAGAATGATGTTCCCGGTTGGCTGTCATCAGCAGCGAACCCCCAGGGCTGCAAAATGCCTCTCACCACACACAGGCACTCTACTGTGAGTCTCTGTGCCTCCCAGGAGGGGCAAACAGACTCCCATCTCACTTTGCCTGCCACAGCATGCATGACGGTAACTAGCTGGCCCAACCTGGACCCATCTAAAACGTGCATTCCACAATGCAGCTTTGACCTCTCCAACGTGTGCCACAGAAGGGTCACACTAGACAAAGGTAGCAGATGGTGAGGGGTCAAACCACACAACCCACCAGCATCTTCCCCATGCCTGTTGCTGTTCATTCAGTCATGTTGGACCCTTTACAAACCCAAGGACTGCAGCACTCCAGGCTTCCCTGTCCTTCACCATCTCCTGGAACTTGCTCAAATTCATGTCCATCATGTCAGTGATGCCATCCAACCATCTCATCCTCTGTCGTCCCCTTCTCTTCCTGTCTTCAAACTTCCCCAGCATCAGGGTCTTTGCCACTGAGTCAGCTCTTCAAATCAGGTGGCCAAAGTGTTGTAGCTTTCCTTTTAACAGAAATCAGTTAAAATGCATCAATTGGAAAGAAAGAAAGAAATGTGTATTTATTTACAGACAAAATGATAGTCTATGTACGAAGTCCAATGGGATCTATAAAAGAGCTATTACAATTAATTATTCAGCTTAGCAAGGTTTTAGGATGTAAGGATACTCTTGAGAGGACTTGGACTGCAAGGAGAACAGACAAGTCAATCCTAAAGGAAATCAACCCTGAATATTCACTGGACAGACTGATGCTGAACCTGAAGCTCCTATACTTTGGCTACCTGAAGTGAAGGGCCAACTAACTGGAAGAGACCCTGATGCTGGGAAAGACTGAAGGCAACAGTAAAAGGGGGAGACAGAGGATGGGATGGTGAGATAGCATAACCCACTCAATGGACATGAATTTGAGCAAATTCCAGGAGACACTGGAGGACAGGTGAGTCTGGTATGCTACAGTCCATGGGGGCACAAAGAGCTGGACATGAATTATAGACTGAAAAACATCATTCAGGTGTTACATGAAAAGTGAAAAGTGCACTTGCTGTGTGGAGTCTGACTCCTTGCAACCCCATGAATTGTAGCCTGCAAGTTCCACTGTTCAGGATTTCTCCAGGCAAAAATACTGGAGTGGATTGCCATTACCTTCTTCAGAGGATATTCCCAACCCAGAGATTGAACTCAGTCTACCACAATGCAGGCAGATTCTTTACCATCTGAGCCACCAGGGAAGGCCTCTGGTGATTTATCTTAATATTTAATATAACTATAAAATGAGAAAATATTCCAAAATTAATAATGACAGTATACAACTTCCTTATTCTCCCACTTCTTACATTGTCTTCAATTATGTTGTACTCCTTGAATATGTGGATCTCAGAATCTCCCCTCCAACTGAATGACAAGTGCAGCATGAGGAAGTGCAGAAGATAAAACTAAAGCCAGAGACAGCACAGTAGCTCAGTTTTATTTTCTGCAGCTAACAATCACCAAACAAAGTATTTTCTGTAGTTAACAATCACCAAACAAACTATGTAGACACTGAGCCCCAAGCAGCAGCACAGGCAGAAGATGAAGCCCAATCAAACTACTGCAGAAAGCAATGCCGGGGGGAAGGACACGAGGCTAGGGCACATAGGCTAGGTTTAAACCCCTCTTCCGTGCCTAGGCTTAGCAGAAACGGGGGCCACAAAGTGCTGCAAGGACCGCATCACCAGGGAAAGCTGCTCCTGAAAGAAGGCGGCGGCTATCTGGAGGAGGCCAGGGTCTTCAGCAGTCAATCGGCTAAAAGGAGGGAAGATGAAATTCAAGGTCCCGCCAAGATGGAGGAAGAGCAGCATGTCCTCCCTCTGTTCCCGCACACCAACAAGCCCAGAGCACCACACTTTTCCTTTAGGCTTAACCCTCCATTATGGCTCCTCCTGAGCCCAGACTGGCTCTGGCCACCGCCCACCACCTACAATCCCCTCCCCGGCCCTGGTCCCCTTTAGAACTGACAGAACCAGCATGCAGCCATTAACATTGAGGTCCTTCCGAATCGGCCCTTGCAGTTGAGTACGTGGAGTCAGGAAGTGGCGGGCGATGTCTGCCTCCGCGTGCGATGAGAAAGGCACAGTGAGGCTGCTGGTGGAGATATGGTTAAGGCACCATCCGCATTTCTCATTTTGCTTGTATGTCAGGCTCCCTGCTCACTGAGACCCGCCTTCTCCCACAAGGAGGCCGCCTAGAAAGTCCAGACATCTCAGCCTATACCCTGAGGACATCCTGGATATCACTGCAGACCCTCTGGATCCCTTCAGGTTGCTTTTCCTCTCCACCATCCACGCTACTCACTTTGCCTGTACGACAGGCTGCCTGCTCATGGAACCACACCTTCTCCCACAAGGCCACTGCCTGACACCCTGGATATCACCGCCTGACTCTCTGGTTCCCTTCAGGTTGCTTTTCCTCACTATTCTTCCCCTGGCAATCAGACCACCCCTGACCCATATCCTCTAGCCCCCCAGAGTACCCTCCTCCTAAACTTTAGTACCACCTGCAAGCCCCCAAACCCTAGCCCACACCCCGACTCCCACGGCCGCCTGGCCCACCGGGGTTCCTGGAATAGGATACAACTGGAGGGCTCGGTAACTCAGAACTCTGGCTCCGGGTGCAGCATCTCCACCAGGCCCTGGGGCACGAGGTGGCCCCAGGATGTGCGGAATGGCATCGGCTGCGCCACCTGACTCTCCTGCAGTGCAGGGGCCTCTGGGATTAGCCAGGTCACCAGCGCCTCCATGAACTCCATGACTGACGGCGTCAGCAGGGCGAGCTGGGTCGCCAGGGTCATCCTGGCCACCAGCACCACCCGGCACGCTGTGGCTGCCACGTGCTGTGCCCGCTGCAAAGGCCAGGGCACCTGGATCTTCATCGGCTGCCCTGGTGGCTCCTCCACCGTGTGCCTCGGACTCCATCTTGAATCCTCTTCCCCTCCCTCCGCGGTGGAAAGACTGAACCTCCCTACAGAACCCAGGCCTCTACTGCGACCTGCAGCTCACCATAGGCAGAGCGCCTGCGCACACACAGCCTGGTCCTGCCTCTTGATTGGTTCCCACCGACCATTCGTTCCCGCGATGACTGCAGACTCTCGGGTAATGGACGGCCCCTGCTAAAATTTCATGCGTTAGTGTGCCCGGTCGCCTCCATCCACCAGTGCGGACACACACCCATGTGGTCGGGGTGATCTAAGTCAGCCCTGCCTTGGCCCGGAAACCTGGTAAATGGCTTACCAGTGAGGCCTCTGGGTGTTGGGGGGCAGCTCCTCAGTGCGCATGTTCAAACAGACACCGCCACACTCCTCAGCGCACGCGACTGTTTCCGGTCCGAGGCGGCAAACCCCAAGTGAGTCCTGGTCCCTGTGCACCTCCAAACCTGCACCAATGCAAACCCGGCCACGCTCATAGGTGACCATCCTGCTAAGCGCAGGTCCTTGTCTTCAACTTCCGGAAGGGAGTCAGGCAACCCTGTGTCACGCTCAGTCGGTCCCTCTGGTGTCCCACACGTAGCTCACGTGTGCGTTCGTCTGTCTGTAGGCAGGTGCATGCACGTGGACATCTGCCTGTTTATGTCTGTATGTGTGTGTGCCGGAGAGAGAGAGAGAGAGTGCCTGTGCATAGGTGCGAGTGCATGTGTGTGTACCTGTGTGTGAGAGAGCCTGTGGTCAGGTGCATGCACATGGGAGTGTTAAGTGTGCTTGTGCACAGGGTCATGCACATGGGCGTCTGTGTGTGTGTGTGTGTGTGTGTGTGTGTGTGTGTGTGTGTGTGTGAAAAAGTGCACGTGTCAGAGGCATGCACGTTGGCATCTCTGTGTGCTTTGTTCATGTGCAGGTGCCTTTGCATGGTGGTGGATGGGAACCGGTCCTGGAGTCAAGAGGCATGCACGTTGGCCTCTGTGTGCTTTGTTCATGTGCAGGTGCCTTTGCATGGTGGTGGATGGGAACCGGTCCTGGAGTCCTGAGACTAGGTATGTGGAGTGGGCTGTGCTTGTTCGCCTGGGGAGGGAAGCGAGGACTGCTGTTGGACTCACTGGGGATGGCATGGGGCTGGGCCTCTTGGGGCTGCAGGCACACAGATGGCAGGGATCCAGACTAGGGGCTTACCCCAGGCCTGCCAGAAGCACCAGTGGGAACAGCCTCACACAAGGGCTGCCGGAAGGGCAATGCCCTCCAGGAAACCCCTAGTCACTTGGCCTCTGCTGGCACAACTCTCACGGGCTTTCCCTCTCCAGGAACAAAGTCTTGCAGCTCTCCAGAGGGCTGGAGGTGCTGGGGGCCCTCAACTTGGCAGTGACCCTGTGTCTGCTGGCCTGCTGGGTGCTGGTCTATTTCTGTGTCTGGAAGGGGTCAAGTCAACAGACACAGTGCAGCTGGGGGAGATGACTGGGCTGGGGCACCACTACCTAGCAGGTGGTGTGCGTCTGCCAGGGAACCACTGGTGCCACGGGAGGTGACTGGATCAGGGCCACTGCCCAAGGAGTGGGCAGGCACTTCAATCAATCTGCTTGATCCTCACCCCCTGGCTGGATAGGCCTCTCAAGGGCCATCCAAATCCAAGGACAGCAGCCCCACCCCCAGTGGAGGGATTAGATTTTCCTCCATTATCGCATTAGTTGTAGGATTTTGTTGTTGACCTTGATCAGATTAAGAAAGTCTGCTTGTAGTCCTAGTTTTGGAAGAGTGGTTCTTGAATACTGTCAAATGCTTTTACGGCATCTATCCAAATGATCATATGGTTTTTCTCCTGTGTTTTCTTCATATGATGAATAACACTGGTTGAAGATTTTTTAATGCATAACCAATCTTTCATTCTTGGAATAGGTCTCATTTGGTCATAATGCTCTATGTATTGCTGGATTAAATTTGCTAATATTTCATTTTTTTGTGCATAATGAAGAATATTGGTCTATGGTTTTCTTTTCTTGCAATGTCTTCATCCAGTTTTGGTATTTTGGAAGGCTGGCCTCATAAGATGATTTGATCTTATTTGAGAAGTGTTTTGATGAAGATGTGTTTTGAGAAGTGTTTTGATGTGTTTTGATGAAGTGTTTTGAGAAGATGATTTGAGAAGTGTTTCCCCTCCTCTCCTTTCTGAAAGAATTTGTATGGGCTTGGTGATATTTCTCCTTTAAGAATTTTATAGCATTCACTAGTTAAGTCACATGGGCCTGGAGTTTTCTGTTCCAAATCTTTGATAGACTTAGGGATATTTAGGGTTTTCACTTTCTTCTTGAGTTGGTTTTGGGAATTTGTGTCATTCAAGGAATTGCTTAATTTCTTCTATTTTTGCAAGTTTTTTGGCTTTTCTCTTTTTTAATTTATTTATTTAAATTGGAGGCTCATTACTTTACAATATTGTAGTGGTTTTTGACATACATTGACATGGATCAGCCATGGGTGTACATGTGTCCCATGGCCTGAATCCCCTTCCAACTTCCGTCCCCATCCAATCTCTCAGGGTCATCCCACTGCACCGGCCCTGAGCACCCTATCTCATGCATCGAATGTGGACTGATGATCTATTTCTCATATGGTAATATACAGGTTTCAATGCTATTCTCTCAAATCATTCCACCCTCACCTTCTCCCAAAGAGTCCAAAAGTCTGTTCTTTATTTCTGTGTCTCTTTTGCTTTCTTGCATATAGGGCCATCATTACCATCTTTCTAAATTTGATATATATGCATTATTATACTGTATTGGTGTTTTTCTTTCTGACTTACTTCACTCTGTATAAAAGGTTCCAGTTTCATCCACCTCATTAGAACTGATTCAAATGTGTTCTTTTTAAAAGTTGGGTAATATTCCATTGTGTATATGTATCACAACTTTCTTATCCATTCGTATAAAGATTGGCATCTAGGTTGCTTGCATGTCCTAGCTATTGTAAACAGTACTGTGATGAACATTGGGGTACATGTGTCTCTTTCAATTCTGGTTACATTTGTGTGTATACCCAGCAGTGGGATTTCTGGGTCGTATGACAGTTCTTTTTCCAGTTTTTTTTTTTTCTTTTTCCAGTTTTTTTTAAGGAATCTCCTCACTGTTTTCCATAGTGGCTATACTAGTTTGCATTCCCACAAACAGTGTAGGAGGGTTCCTTTTTCTCTGCACCCTCTCCAGCATTTATTGTCTGAAGACTTTTTGATAGCAGCCATTCTGACCAGCATGAGATGGTACCTCATTGTGGTTTTGATTTGCAATTCTCTGATAATGAGTGATGTTGGGCATCTTTTCATGCATTTGCTAGGCATCTGTATATCTTCTTTGGAGAAATGTCTGTTTACTTCTTTGGCCCATTTTTTGAGTGGGTCGTTAATTTTTTTGGAATTGAGCTGCATGAGCTTCTTGTATATTTTTTAGATTAATTCTTTGTCAGTTTCTTCATTTGCTATTTTTTTTTTTTCATTCGGAAGGCTATCCTTCACCTTGCTTATGATTTCCTTCATTGTGTAAAAGCTTTTAAGTTTAATTAGGTCCCATTTGTTTATTTTTCTTTCATTTCCATTGGTCTTGGGATGGGTCATAGTGTATCCTGCTGTGATTTATTTCAGAGATTGTTTTGCCTATGCTTTCCTTTAGGAGTTTTATAGTTTCTGGTCTTACATTTAGATCTTTAATCCATTTTGGGTTTACTTTTGTGTGTAGTGTTAAAAAGTGTTCTAGTTTCATTCTTTTCCAAGTGGTTGACCAGTTTTCCCAGCGCCATTTTGTAAAGAGATGGTCTTTTCTTCATTGTGTATTCTTGCCTCCTTTGTCAAAATAAGGTGTCCATAGGTGCGCGGATTTATCTCTGGGCTTTCTATTCTGTTCCATTGGTCTGTATTTCTGTCTTTGTGCCAGGACCATACTGTCTTGATGACTGAAGCTTAGTAGTATAGTCTGAGGTCAGGCAGGTTGATTCCTCCACTTCCATTCTTTCTCAAGATTGCTTTGGATATTCCAGGTTTTTTGTATTTCCATACAAATTGTGAAATTATTTGTTCTAGTTCTCTGAAAAATACCGTTGGTAGCTTGATAGGGATTACATTGAATCTACAGATTGCTTTGGATAGTATATACATTTTCACTATATTGATTTTCTGATCCATGAACATGGCATATTTCTCCATCTATTTGTGTCAACTTTGATTTTTTTATCAGCGTTTTATAATTTTCTATATATAGTTCTTTTGTTTTTTAGTTAGATATATCCCTAAGTATTTTCTTCTTTTCGTTGCAATGATGAATGGGATTGTTTCCTGAATTTCTCTGTTTTCTCATTGTTAGTGTATAGGAATGCAAGGGATTTCTACGTGTTAATTTGGTATCCTGCAACTTTGCTATATTCATTGATTAGCTCTAGTAATTTTCTGGTGTGTTCTTTAGGGTTTTCTATGTAGAGGATCATGTCATCTGCAAACAGTGAGAGTTTTACTTTTTCTTTTCCAACCTGGATTCCTTTTATTTCTATTTCTTCTCTGACTGCTGTAGCTAAAACTTCCAAAACCATGTTGAGTACTAGTGGTGAGAGTGGCCACCCTGGTCTTGTGCCTGACTTTAGGGGAAATGCTTTCAATTTTTCACCATTGAGCATAATGTTTGCTGTGAGTTTATCATATATGGCTTTCATTATGTTGAGGTATGTTCCTTCCATGCCTGCTTTCTGGGTTTTTTTTTTTTTTCATAATTGATATTGAATTTTGTCAAATGCTTTCTCTGCATCTATTGATATAATCACATGTTTTTCATCTTTAAATTTGTGAATGTGGTGTATCACATTGATTGATTTGTGAATATTAAAGAATCCTTGCATCCCTGGGATAAAGCCCACTTGGTCATGTTGTATGATCTTTTTAATATGTTGTTGGATTTTGTTTTCCAGAATTTTGTTGAGGATTTTTGCATTCATGTTCATCAGTGATATTGGCCTCTAGTT